TTATACATTTGTTTTCATAAAAAAAAGGTATACATTTTCTGTTTTTCTTTTTTTTTCTTAAACAAGGCTTTGAGGCTCTCTTCTTTTTACATTTCCTCGTCTCCTCTTTCGACTCTCCTTTTTCTGCCACTCGTTTTTCCACGTTCTGATTTATCTCCAAGTGGTTTAGGAAATGTAAAAACAGAGGTGAGCAAACTTTAGAACTGCATCACTCCTAAAGGTAGAGGTCAGAAGATGTTGGTTGCTGCCTTGATATAGAAGAGCTAACTAGCAATGGCTAACTTCCAACATGCTCTGGATTAGTTGTGTTACAGATTTTTTATCATAGTAGAACAGCTGGCAGCAGGTAGTAAAATTAGTCAAATGTGTCGAGGAGATGAGGGAAAAGCAAAGCAAAAATATATATATCATCAGACCAAATGTAAAAATTACTCAGTTTCCTCATAAATCCAAATATAACCACATCAATTGCATTAGTGATTTTTATTATTCATATTTGGAAATATATTGAGTCAGTTTTATAAGCAGTTTGTTGCTAAATATAAAAAGTAGTGTGTCAAAATTTTATATTATTTAAATAAGAATCTCAGGGTAAAGCTGTTTATTTTCTGTTCTTTTCTCAAACATTTTGAAGCAGCTGCTGCTTCATACCATGAAGCTTCTGTATTTTAATTTTGGGTTGACGTAGAACCTGCTCAAAGGTACCCAGCATATTGCATTGCTTCTATTAAGCATCAATTTGGTTTCATTTTTAAGGCTGAGCACACAGGAAAACTTACTTCTTGGTTTTTGCTGCTTTCCGGCAGAAAGGTTCTATAAAAGTCAGGTTCTGTTCGGCAGTCAGCTGCAAAATAAAGAAAAGGTTCTTAGTTCTATAGCAAAGTTGCAACAGTTCAAAAATGATGCAAAAGTTCACACAATCCAAACATTAATCCTCACGATGAAATTCTGGAAGATGTACCTCAGTTTCACTACTTATTTTTAATCAAAACTAGAAACCCTAGGGACAGAATATGCAGGGGCTGCCGGTCGGTTTGTACCACCATATCCACTTATTGAATTTTGCTTTTTCTACACAACATAACCTTCACACTTAATACACAACAAGAAAAACTTCAGTTTTTAGGTCACAATCATTCAACCAGTTGTGGGTTGTACCTCTGCAGCACCAACAGCTGCTAGTTCAGTCATGTAAAGGTCCATGATGTGCAACAGCAATCCAGACGGCACCTCGCTCTCTTTTTGCAGGAGGTCAGATTTCAGCAGCTCCAAAAACTTGCCAATGGAACTGAAAACATATATTCAGTTATTTTTCTTCAAACTGAAGAGCAGTTCAATTTTTTTCTAAAAAATCCTTACCTGCTTTCCCAATTGCTCCTCTTTAGGATTTCAAAAGTTTGTCTGAACATGAAGCGGACCAACTGTAGAGGAGACATTAAAATATTATTTGTAAAGGGAATGCCTTAAGTGAAAACTTTGTGGGCTGCATTGATACAGGGAATAGGAGTGCAAACATTTCTGCTAACCTTCACACGTTCTCACTTTCACTCAACTGTACTTACATCATGCAGCTGAAAGCTTATAAAATTATTTATACACCAACTTTTAACTCATTTGCTCTTCTTTGTTTTTATAGAACTTCCTAAGGCCCTGCATTTCATACCCTGTGCATTTTCATACCAACAAGATGCTAAACGCAAGTCTAAGGACGCCTAGTGGTGAAAATGAAAAAAGAGATTTTATGGAACAGAGCAATGCTGCATTCAGACCAAACGCGTTTTGAGCTTCAAGAACATTTGGTTTAGACACAAAGTTAATGCTGGACGCGCCTCAAGGCGTTTACAGGTGTAATGCTGCACAATTTTAAGTTTCTGTGTGTGCTGTGACTCTAAAGTGGCTGAGACTAGAGCTGAACAATCTAAACTCTTGCAACTAGACATCGAGCATCAAACTGTACTTTCCTGTTAAAAAAAACTTTTTTTCCAACACATTAAAGCAAATAAAGCCGAGCGACTCTCTAGGTAGTAAGGAGAAGAGCAGAGCAGCTAAATGCCCAGAGCGTCGGGCATCCAGAGTGTTGAGGTGCCATTTTGACATTTAAGGCAGTATAACTGCAGGTGGTAACGGTAGAAATTATAATTTTTAATAATCCTGTTTGAGTTGTCTATAAAACAAATTCAAGCTAGCCACTATTAGGTGCATCAGAAAGAAGCAATCAGTGGAAAATTAGCATCAAAGACAAATTATTATTGAAGATGGATTCTTATTTTGGGCCTGGATCAGTATCTGGTATAAAGGCTGGGCTTTATGTGGCTTGAGGATTTCAGTCTGTTCTTCTGTCAATCCTCCTTCCCCGCTTCTGTGCTGGGAGCACTTCAGGGTTCCCCCTTATGATACGTTCACACCTAAAGCAGCAGAGGCAGCAGGAGCAGCTAGTTTACATGCAAAGTCAATGGTTGACGCGCATCAAGGCGCAGCAAAAAGTCCCGCAGCACGTTTTGAGCAGCAGGAGCAGCGTGTTGTGAGCTTGTGAGCATCTGACATGCGGGACGCTCTGCAAACGCAGCTGCTGCTGGAGTTGGAAAAATTTAACCTTTTGCTGCTCGACAAGCCACATCAACCAATCAGAGAAGCTGAGCTGGGTGCTTGCAGTGAGAGAAACATCATTGATGATACAGATCACTATGATCACTCCTCTAAAACATTTTAACTTAAAAGCCGAAATCTGCCGGCAAAACACGTTCGTTTTTATTATCCTGGTGCTTGCAGCTTGGATTACGTACATGAAAAACACCTTCCAGCCGCCACGGCAAACCGCGAAGAGGCTGCTGTTGAATGGGATTCCTAGTGACGGTGCAATGCCAGTAAATGGGGGTCCGAGCGGCTCCCACAGTGAAATCATATTTGAATGGAGGATGGTAATCTGGATAAACTGATTGCACAGATGAAGTTGTAATGTGGACTTTCTCACTGAAAAACATTTTAAAACTACTTTTTAACCCACTGATCACAGAAAATATAGCTGTCATTGTTACAGGCAAAGAAAGGATAGAGTAGCTCTGCCCAACGCACATCAGAGCCACGTTTACACCACGCAGCCAGAGCAGAAGAGATGCTTCAGCCACATGTCAGAACTAAACTTGTACAAGCATCAAAAATTAAGCAGCACGCATGTTTTTGTTGCTTTTGCTGCTTGTGGTCTGAACATAGCCTGGAAAAGTGTAATTTACTCTTAACATTTCCCATTTATGGGCATCTTTTTAATAATATTTCTCAAAAACAAAAGTCTAATAAGCAGGCTGAACAAATTGGGCCAGGTCCATATGCATTAATGTGAGAAGTATAAGGTTTTATGCCAAATCATAACTGAATTCTAACTAGGGCTGCAACAACGAATCGATAAAATCGATAAAAATCGACTTTTAAAAGCGTTGGCAACGAATTTCATCATCGATTAGTTGTGTCGCGCGATTAATGCGTCATCCGCTGCCGTCGTCATTGCCGTGGGGCGCCTCCCCCATCCCAACCC